TTACTTTTCCTAATTACTGAGAACTTCATAAAGGATAAGTTTGCTGTTCTCAACCAAGTATGTGCTGCATTCCCAAGTTATACTGGGCTAGCTACCTGAGATAATTGAGTTAGCTATTCTGTGCAAAGGAGGAAGCATCATACCAGGGAAACAGGCTGTAGGGCTCCAAGGCCGTGCATATATGCTCCCCATCTGACTGAAATGCAGCCAGATGGTGAGATTTGATCTATGACTGGGCCCAGTCATCAGACATGTGAAGAGCAAGCTTCTCTTTTCTCAGTGAAGCAGCCTCAGTGACAGAGAAATGCCATCACCCCACAGACTGCACAATTCAGTTTTATTTCTTTAATGGCCAGTATCACTCATTTAACAATTATTCACTAAGCACAACGCTTGAGCCCTGCTCTAGGCTGGAACAGGTTTATAATGGTGAACATCAAACTGACATCTGTAGAGAAACGTCTCTTCTCACTTTAGCTTAAGCATAGTCCCTTTTGCCTTTTCCTCCTTGGACAGGGAAAATCATTTACCAGTATCACCTAAATAAAAACTATTCAGGTGACTGTAACTGTCACTCCTCAGTCTTCTTTAGCATTTGATTTGCTAAATGTGCTTTAAGAACGTTAAACAAAATTAAAAGAACATTAACCCAAACAATAAGAAAAGCCCACATGCTTGAAGCATGGATATGTCTACAGTTGGGAAAAGAACATCTCATGTACATTTTTACCCCACATGTAAACATTATTGAATTCCTACTATGTGCCTGACACTGGACTAAGTACTAAAAGTATAATGGTCGATAAACCAGACTGCTTGGGGCTTAAATTCTCCTGAGGAACACATAATAAACATACACAAACGTATTATGGGGAGACAGCGAGTAACCGGGAGAGGCCCTTTAGATTAGCTGGGCAGAAAGCTTCCTTCTAGAAGGTGATAGCACCTAACACAGTATCTAACTCACATGATGGAAATGTTCAAGGCTCTTAACAGCAGTCATCCAGTAAACATTCTCCTGGGTTTTCTGCTGAATTTTGTTTTCTTGCTCGATTATAAACTTGTTATTCAGGTCAGATAAACTAGACCTAAAGGCAAACGAACGAACACAAATGAACAAAACTTGGCTTCTATAGAGAGCTATGAAAAAGGAGTTCTGCAAAAGCAAATAATGATTCTTTTATTATAAATCTTGAAAAAAGATTCTAGTATTGTGGTTAATTCTTTAAGGCAGAACATTGAATTCTGTTACATTTTTGCTTCCTTTAATGATAATGTTATTTGGGGTCATGGATTCTTTTGAGACTCTAAGACTCTGGTTCCTCTCTCTGAACTACACGGTGCAATTTCAGGAGAGGTTGACACATTCTCTGTCTCAGGTCACAAGCCCTGTACATTATTACTAAACAGAAAACTTACCTTGACAAAATGTATTAGAAAGCTTCAGTAATTTAGTATGATTTTGGTACAAGAATTCAATAGAAAAGACTAAAAGTGAAGAAAATCCAAGGTATAATTAATATTTTAAAGGCATCTTGCATCAATGGAAAAAGTTACATTTTTATAACAGTATGGTGAAAAATAACTAACAACATGAAAAGAAATATTAGATTTCTACCCTAAACCACCCACCAAAAGAAATTCTTGCTGGGTTAAAGATTTAAATGCAAAAATTAAAACCATTATAATTATAATTATAATACCAAAGATGTAGGTGATTTTTTTTTTTGTCTCTGGGTGGGAAAAATCTTTCTAAGCAGTAATTACAAAAAGGGTGACATTTTTGACCAAATGTATATTTAAAATTTTACAACAGCGAAATTAAAATGGACACAATACCTTCTTCCATAAAGGCCAACTTAAATTGTAATGTAATTAACAAAAAGTCTTTAATCCATAAATAAACCTTTACTAATCTTTATATAAAAGATGATAGTACAAGATGAAAAATGAGCCAGAATTATGTACATAATATTTGGCCTCAAAGCAAGAGCTCAACAGATGTGTTGATTAAATGAATAAATTGATGGATAGAAATCCATGGAATATAAATGGCCAATAAGCATATGAAAAGTATGTAATTATAGGAATAATTTCCAGAATGAATATCAAAACAAAATAGAAATTTTGCCCAGCAAATTGACCAAGATTAAGATAAAAATCTGATAATGCTTGCGTTGATTAAGGGTACAGGGATATAATCACACATTCTGAGGATGTAAACGCCTACCCTCGGCAGGAATATTTGCATTACAAGTCAAGCACTTTAATACAAGAGGCAGAAGTTGCAAATTTGAAACGTCATTTAATAGAAGTTTCTCCAACCTTTGCCAATAATAAAAACAACTCCTTTGAACATTTTCCTGGAGAATTCCTTTCCAAAAGTATGAAAAGTCCACAGAGCAATGTCCAGAAATGCTTGTGGAACACACCTTGTCTCTCTTTGATGGAGCCAGTAAAATGCCCCACACCAAAGCAATAGCAGTCAGAATCTCTATTTCTAAACTGGAAGACGCAATGGCCTTTTCTTTCTGTTCTCTCCTTCTTTTCCTTTTCTTCTTCCTCCTTCAGCTTCATTGTTGGAGGTCCATTATTGTTTGCAATTATCTGCAACCCCCCTCCACCAAGTTATAAATCCTCACTCCACTAACACAAGAGGGGGCTATGTCATTTCCTTTAGTCAACAAAGTGAGAGAAGTGAAGTGTATCATATCTGAGCACAATCTTTAGCATCCAGTTCACAGTTTGCCATGTCTATTTTGTGTTGGCCATAGACCAGCTATGTTCCTAGTAGGGGCTGCTCGGTCAAGTGTGAACATAATGTAGAGTCAGAGCTAATTTGGATGGATATGTAGTATAAGTGAAAAATACACCTTTCTTGTGCAGAACTTCCAAAGGTACAGGGATTTTGTTACCATAGGCTATTTCAGCCAGTCCTGATAGAATTGCTAAGGAACCTCAATCTGAGTATTAGCTCTGCCAATTACTGGCTAAATTCAATCTGGATCTGCTTTTACTATGAAACATTGGCCTTAGTTCTATAAAATGGGATTACTACCGTTGGCTAGCTTTTAGGGTCATTATGAGGATAGAAAGACTTTAAAAAGGCTAAATAAGTTATTATTTGTAAAGGGCTTAGAATAGTCCCTAGCAAATATTAAATAGAATATTAATATTTGTTAAATAAATTCACTTGTGTATGTGTGTGTAGAACAAAGTCCAGGAAGGCATACAACATGTTATTTAACATGTTTCCTCCTTTTTGTTTTTCAGCCACATCTTCTGTATTTCTGGGGCAATTTAAAAAATCTATTCAAGAACTCCTAACTCCTTTGCACTGAGAATCTGTTTTTTAAAAATTATACTTAAAAAAAAAGTAGGCGTTCTTATAATTTCATTACTTCCACAGGAACAGATCATTACTTTTCATATGAAAGTCAATAGAAAAACAGGTGTCAGTATGTGGAAGTTCTATTAATGGGAATTTTCTTGAACCATAGAACAGGCAACATTTGTAGCCAAAATCTTGAGAATGAGGTAAAATATCTAATTATTGTTATGCACATTTTATTTTGCATGCATACTCTGAAAATATTTTGATTTCTAATGTGACTCCTTAAATAAGAAACAGTTGTTTAGTCATTAATAATACTACCCCTGCTTCTCTGGGCCAGGCTCAAAGGTCCATGAAAGATAATCTCTGGTTTCTAATATTACAACCTTTGGGGAGACAGATCAGTGAGGATCAGCATTGCTTTTGATGGACAGTGTAGGGGTGAGATCAGGTCACTTGCTGGCATTGTTGTCATTGCAGCAACCTTCCTGCTCCCTGTATCCAATCCCTTTTATTTGCCCAAGCTGAGAAGGAGTCTTGACAAGGATTTACACAGAAAAACCATGATCCAAGAGCAATCATTAACACCCATATCTATGACTGGCCACAACCATCACAGCTGGAGATTTCCATGCCTGAGACAAACGAAGAACAGGGAGGTTGTTTCCTTTTTTATCCTCCATACTCATCATATGCGCTTTTTTGAGGGGGAGAGGGATGCGTGGGATGGGGTAGTGGGGTGGAGAGGGGTGCTCTGAGTTACTTTGGGAGGGTGGAGAAAACTCCTCTGGATGGTGCACATACTATAACAGATACCTAACTCCAGTGAGATTAGGAAGGGCTTCCCTCAGGAGGTCAAATCCAGGAACAGAAGGATGAATGAGATCAAGCTAGTGGAGTAGGAGGAGGTAGTGGGAATATCATGCAAAAAGCTCAAGGTAATAACATCAAAACTATCAGTAATAAACAAAACAAAACATCCATATGGAAATTACAAAATATTGCTGAGAGTAACTGAAAAAGATTTAAATGCATGGAAAGGTACATTACATTCATGGATTGTAAGACTCAATATTGTTAATGTTATTTTCTCTATATTTATCTAAAGATTCTAGGCAATACCAAAAATCCTAGCAGGTTTTTTGTTTTTAAAGAAATTGATAAGCCAATTAAAAAATTTATATGGACATAGAATGGATTTAGAACAGCCAAAACAGTCTGGAAAATCAAAAATGAAATTGGAAGACAAACTACCTAATTTCACGACTTACTATAAAGCTTCACTGATCAAATAATCAAAGAGATTAGTGGAACAGACTAGAGAATTCAGAAAGAGACTCATGCATACACATCAACTGATTTTCAATCGAGGTGCCAAGTCATTTCAATGGGAGGAAAGGTTTTTAAACAAATGATGCTGGAACAACTGTATATTCTTTAAAACCTACCTCTATAAGTGAATATTGATTTGAGATGAATCATAGACCTAAATGTAAAAAGCTAGACCCATGAAGTTTCTGTAAGAAAACATAAGAAGAATTTTCATAACCTTAGGGTGGGTAAAGATTTATTACAGAGGACACAGAAAATATTAACCATAAAAGAAAAAGATAAATTAGGCTTCTTGAAAATTAAGATGTTCATTCTAAAAATGAGTAAGCAAGCTGCAGCCTGGGAAAAATATTCTTAATACATATACTGACAAATGACTCATATCCAGAATGTATAATCAACACTATAAAACCCTAAATGACCTAAATTTTAAAAATAAGCAAAAGACTCGAATAGACACTTTATAAATGATGCTTAACATCGCTAGTCATCAGAGAAATGAAAATTAAAACCAGAATGAGATACCATTTCACATCCACCAGAATGGTAAAAATATACAAACTTGACAACATCAACTATTGAGGATGTGGAGAACGAGAACCTTTATACGATGATGGTGGAATAGAAAACGGCACAACCACTTTGGAGAATTATTTGGCAATTGATATTCATTTCTTCAAAGACCCAGCAGTTCTACTACTAGATACTTATCCTAGAGCAGTGAAAACATAAGTCTACAAAAAGACTTGCACAAGAGTATTTATAGAGCTTATTCATATTATTTTCAGAGTGAAAACAATCCAAATAAATACCAACAGGAGAATGGATAAACACATTTTGATATATTTATATGATGAAATACTACTTAGGAATAAGAAGAAACCATTGATAAACATAACAAAGTTGTTATTTTTCAAGGGAAAAAAAACACGTTGAGCAAAAGAAGCTAGACACAAAGGACTATATCCTAAATGACTTTATTTATATGAAGGACAAAAATAGCAAAACACATGTAGGGGGACAGAAGTCAGAGTGTGGTTGCCTTGGGGTGGGGCAAATTGAACAGAAAGCATGAGAGAACTTTCTGGGCTGACAGAAATAGCCTGTATCTTACTTCTGATGGTGTTTGCATGGATATATATGGTTGTCGAAACGTCCTCAACTCACAACACTTAAAATCTGTTATTTATTGTCTGTAAATTCTACCTCAATTTAAAAAGAAAGCCCAGGATAAAAGAGCATGGCGTGTTTGCAGGTGTAAATGACCAAGATACTCAGGGCTGATGTTAATTCTTCAATTTATCTCAGAAAGCAAGAGTTCAAACCCCCATCCCCTTCATAAATTATTCCTATATTTTTATCCACAGTGATGAAAGAGGTATTTATTAAAGCCCTTTCTCCTCATGGTATGTGTCATACAGTGGTTGAAAAAAAATCAAAATTGATGAAATAAATCTTATCTCAAATGAAATAACCTAGGACATGTAAAAAAAGAATTAGCAGCATGTGTGAAAGGACACACCAACTGTTTTTAAAAACTGGCTGGTGGAATACGGGCTATTTGAGGAGGGAGAGAACTACTCAGGTAAGCTTCCACACCCTACTCCTTCTCCAATTATACTCAGTAAATTGTATCAAAAATAAAAAGGATTGATATCTGAAAAACAAATCCTGTGACCTTAACTGATTCATGAATCTTTCTCTTGTACGTGATTTACTTCTATAGCAAAGGCACTGTGTCTCTTCCAACTCATCTTTGTATCCTTAGAAGAATCTAGGCCAGGACCTTGAAAATAATGGATCCTCAGCAATTACTTATAGACTTGAATTAACATATCAATGTATTTACTGATTGGTTAGAATTTATGTCCAAATTAATGTTCCTATAATAGGAAATTTACTGCAATTATTTTATAATACTTTCATATAAAATGTTTGACCCAGCAGTGATCCCATTTGGCAATTTATGGGAAATATATTTAAAAGGAGTTATGAAATGAAATATAAGTCCAACTCACCTCAGCTTAAAAATATAACCATACTGTAATTACCTGACTAGGCTTTCTAAAAAAATTATTTAAAAAAGTGCAATTGTTAAAAAATATAAAACGCAGACTAACAAAACCCACTCAGTTTAGTTTTGGTCTCCATTTGAATCTCTAAGTGATTATAAGGCTGCAAGTCCAATGTTTTGAACTGAACACCACACTGGCAAGATCAGAAAAGATCACTGAGAAGGAAATTGTTATTCCAGTGATAGAACCTCCTCTCGTGAGGCTCACTCTGCTGGCAGCTGAGACTGCAGGGGACTCTCACTAGGAAAACCAGCAGTCCTTTAATCACACGCCACAAGCACATCTGCGACGCTTTGCAGGCAGCCTTCTCCCAAGACGCTCCTGCTGTGCTCCTTCCTCAGCACAGGAAGTTCAAGATGGCTGACGCTGCTTCTAATTATGCCAGGACCCTCCTGAGTGCCACTGGGCTTGCATCAGGGAGACGGATGGCACAGCATCAGACGTGAATATCTCACTCTAAATGGGGACTCCCACGATCATGTTATTTTTGGGAGAGCAGCTCTCTGGCTGCATGGATATCACTTGAACGGAGTAGCCACGTTCTTCTGCAGCTCTTGCTCGATCCAGATCCACCAGGCACATGCACTGTTTTCCTGAAATACAGTAGAATGGTATCATGAGACGCCCTTCAGCAAATGGTGCAATTTCAATTCGTTTAATGGATTCTATACGATGACAAAATTTGGAAAATACAAAATACTATGGAGAATGATGTTTGCCCCCAAGTTCTGTTTAGTCTCTTTGAACTTAATTCTTGATCACTATGGAGAGAAGACAATTACAAATATGTAACATTTCACAGATTTGTTTCTACTAGTAATTTAAAGAATATTAATCTTTTAAAATGTATTTATAAATAAATTCTGAAATAAAAACTACAGATTCTATTTCCCACTTTGGTTAAAAATCCATTTTTAAGAACTTTTCTCTTCATACTCCAGGAAAATACATAATTTGTAAGGTTGTAAAAAATATATAACATCTGCCGTTAAAAATATCTAAAATAACCAAACAAAAGGACACCTGAAAGTCATGTTACATTTTGCATGTGGAGATTTTAGGACAATGAAGAAATGAGAAATAGGAAATACTTGAGAAAATTCTCAGTTGTGTGCAGATTATTTCAGGTGGATGTGTAATGTTGAGAGTAGTATAATCTTAATTGAATAGAGCTCCTACCCCCCTATGAAATAGTGGTTTTCAATTTTCTTTCTAATCTTGGGAAACAAAGGAGGGAACGTGACTGGCAAGCAAAGCAGTTAATTTCTGTCTTTTGGTAAGTGCAAACTTCTATTTCAAAGCAGCTAGGGAAAAAAAAGCTGATTTGGGGTTGAATATATTCAAAGCTAAGGTTTACTTTTATAATTTCAATTTCTTTAAATTCAATACATAAACTTTTTCATCCTCTTGGGAAAAGGTTACTGACATGCAGAACTTCATTCCATTTTTTCTCAATAATTATAATAATGCCTAAACATTATTTTTAAACATTATTTACTTGAATGACAGCCGAAACTGCTCAACTAAAACAGCTTCAAAAATGAAGATAGATAACTGATTTAGAAAAATTCTTCTGTGGAAGGTAGAATCCTCCCAGATAAAAACAGTGGAAGGTAAAATCAATAGGTAAGAAATTGACAACAAGAGATTTAGATTTAAAATATTTCGCACATTTCCCTTAAAAGGCCCCATGCCAAGAAGTATGAACTGTGATAGAAATGATATAAAAAGAGATGTCTAGAATTCCATTGAGGCGAAGTCACCCCTCTTCATCAACAGCTGCATAGATGACAGGTTTTTTTTCCCCTTTAAATACTGTTCTTCCTTTAAGACATCTGTAAATGTCCCCCCACCCCACCCCATCTACTTTTCAATTTAAAATGAAACACTTTCTGTCAGAATGGGATGCTCTACATTCCTTTGGTACCCACCCTGGGTTTACACTGCAGTTCATTTACCCTTGGCTTTGATCCCAGTCCAGCTCATATTTCCTTTGCATTATGTAAAAGAGTCTCATGTTTTTACATGTTGAAGAAGTGTCTTCACAACTGAAACTCAGTTGTTGGGAGTCTACCTTTTGAGGCCTGAGAAGCTTCCTAAAATGTTCACAGAACAAAAGTATGGCCTGTGCAAAGACGTAGACATTTGATGGAGTCCATGATTCTGAACCTGACTTTCCTTCCCTTCATGTCAGTGATCACGAGAAAATGCTCCTCCTTCTCAGCTCTAGCAGTTTCCCTTCTAATCATTCCTTCTGGTTTGACGCCTAAAACATCAACAGGTACACCCCCATCCAGCACATCAATTATGCCTTCACTGAGTCCAGTGGAGCTATCTCAAATGTAACTTGACATATATATGTAAGTTGTACCTCAATATACATACTGGACTGTACACTCAAGTGTACATACGACTAACTCAAAATGTTGGAAACTAGAAAAAGAGGAGGAGGAGGGGAAGGGAGTAAAAGAGAGAGGTTGCGTGTGGGAAAGTAAGTTTTTTCCATACGTTTATGCCCCAAAGTGTGAAAAAAGAAGGAACTCACTTGCTCCTTCAGAACTGGTTCTCAAATGCCTCTCCAATTGTGATTATCCTTCTATGCTGACTCTGATTCTAGAGTTTAAAGGTACCTAGTTTTTATACAACAGGGTCCCTGAATACAAGCTAACCCCTAGACGTGGTGCTCAGCCAAAGAACCAGCAATCTGCATTCCACTTCATCATGATGGTCTACAGTGTGGGGCTTTTCTGAATAATTTTTAAGATTAGTTTTGATTATATTCAGTCATGTAAAGTCCTAATCTTGGAAACTAACCTTCCAGTGATGCACCTCTATCACTGGGCAGTGGCGGGGCGGGGGGGGGGAAGAACTGCAAAAATGGGTAAGAGCTTTATGTCTGGAATCAAATAATTTGGGTGTGATTCCATCATCTACCGGCTGAGGGATCCTGGCTAGGCTTTTGTCCCAATAGCACATATTCCACAAGTATTTTTATAAGACTTTTCTGAGATAATGGGTGCAGGACATTTAGCTCAGAATTTAAATGTGCAGTAACTGTTAGCTGCTATTATCCTTCTAAATGTGATTTCTTTTTCTAAAGCAGAGTCTTGGATAAGTTCATTACTTAAACTGGAAATGCTATTTTTCTTCCAAGTTAGGTAATGTTAAATATTACAAATGTCAAATATATTGGTCTATGATTAAAAATATACAGGTAAACTTTTTTTTTCTGAGAAAGAAAACATTATCATCCTTGTTTACACATTTTGTAATGTATCAATTTTGGCATGCTGAGTTGATTTTTCTATCTTGTATTTTCTTCTGCAGCTTTTGATAGATTCTTCAGTTTGTGACAATAAGAGATTTAACAATAATTCTACTCAATGTATGAACATTGAAAATACATTTAAAAGCATTAAGGTTGACAAAAATGGGGTAAAATGCTGTTATAATTACAGACTTCTTTTCAAGATACATTTTTTTTTCTGGGAAAAATAAACTTTTGTGTCTTAATGATAAATGGACCATTTTAAAGTGCCCTGTTTTCTCATATAGGGCTGGTCTATTCATTCCTAGGCACCTTGTACATAATCAACTCAACATTTGTTCTGTGAGAACACATACCTATGAGCCTTCGTTGGGGTGGAAGCTGGACAGCTGTCTGGTCTGCAAATCTGCACAGAATCATGTGTTCCTATAAGAAAAAGCAACAGAAAATGGGTTTACTTTAATCTTCTGCTTCAAACTTAAAAAAGAAAAAAGCAACTTTTTTTTCTTCTGGAACTCTCCATTGTTTAATTGAATAAACTACTGCACAAATAGTACTTTTTTAAAAAGTACATTTTCAGAAAATGGTACTCAATAATCTTTTTCCCTTCAAGTAGACTGCTCTTCAGATGTAGTTCTTAAGAACAGAGGTACAGAAGGTCCTCAGGGCCCTTTAACCAGCTGCTTTTAGCCAAAATATGCTTACAATTTGTGGTTATAATGTGTTAAACTAAAAGACCTAAAATTCACTTATATTTTCTTTTTAATCAAATTTGAGTCTCAGGAACACGGCTCCAAGAAGACATTTTAAGTGGCTTTTCCTTTTACTACAAAGAAAAGGAAGTACTGCCAAAGGTCACCACCATGGCCTCTGCCATTCTCCCCGGTCCCCAGCAGGGTGTCGGACTCCCCCCCTTCACTCAGTTCCCTCAGAGGAAAGGAGGCTGGTTCACTCCCTCCCCTCACTCCAAAGGCTACAGGCGGTGCATGTACTTGTGCTTTAAGACAGACTGTAAAGGGGACTGGAGAGAATGAGAGGGAGATCATTGCTTCTGCTTAACAATTTTAGGAAAGGTTACATTAATGGAAAAAGAGCAAGGCTTCAGAGAGACAGAGAGGTGGTGAGTATGCACAGCACTCTTACATCTGCAAGTAGTCAAAAGAGAGTGGTGAGCCGGAGCTAAAATGACTGCAGTGCTCCCATGACAACTGTTCACTCAGAACAGCTGCAGTTTCCAAGTGTGTAATGGTCTCACCTATCAGCTTAGCAAACGCATTGAACTGACTCATCATTGGTCTCCTTGGTCTTTGGTACATTCAATGTGAGGTCTCCACTTTTTTAATAAGATTTTTCTGATTACCTTATTAAATGAGTGACTGGGTGATGTTGGGTCTTTTTGAAGGGTTACTTTTGTCTCAACTTTTATACATTAAAGAAAACCTCTTTAATGCTCACTATAAAATTTAGTGGCAATGGGTAGGATACTGATAAAATGGTTCAAATGAGTAACTTTTATTAAACTCCTGTGAACTGGCCCAAACCAAGGGGCAGAAGAATAATTTAGAACTATGTAATTTGAAGAAAAGGCAGGACAAAGCATGCCCTTTGTCCTCATGTTTATAAATTAAAGTTCACTACAAGTAATGTCGAGGAAATTACAACCTCAGATGAGGCTGGTTTCCCTTGTCCTGGTAAGTCTTCTCATATTTTAGTGGAATTATTTGTGTATGTGTTTGCCCCAGTAGAAGTTAAATTCTGAATGGGGAAGGCATGTAGTAGGTACTCAGTAGAGATTTGCTGGCTAAACTGAACTGTGGAGGAAAACACTTCTAATGTGACTCTCAAGGTACCTGGGCACTAAGTCCATTTAGTTCTGCCTGCCAGCCCACCCACCATGGTTAAGAAGTACTGAGATATCATCTTGCAACAGCATCCAAGAGGTTAAGACTTCTCCGTGGAGCATTCACACCCAAGACAATCAAAGGGTGAGTAGCCAAAGAGCTTTGAGGGCGTGGAAGAACGAGGAGATAAAGATAACTAGGGGACCTGGGAGCTTTAGGCTATCTGGAAGAGCCTGAGTGCCCTGTCTCTAGAATCTAGAACTTCTACATTTCCTCCAGCCAGTGAGGCTGTGGTGCCCTACCTCCTCACTGCCCCAGTTTTTTATCCTCGTAGAGTTTGCTTTAGTTCACATCACTCAAGGAGGGATTAAAAACAAGGGTCTAGTTTTTGGTTTTTGTTTGTTTTCCAGTTCATTTTCTACTTTATTGGCAGGGCCTTTTGAGAGAAAGTTGAGGTGTTTTGAACATTATGAAAATAAAGTTCCTGAGGTCCTAACACTTCCAAAAACCCCTATAGTTAAAAAAAAACCCCATATTTCCCTAGAATATGAAAACTTTAAATTCAGTAGATGAAGATTAGATCTGGTTCTATACTTAGATGGGTGGGCACGGGAAAGTTGGGGAGAGGGGAGAGGTGAGGGTAGGAGAAGGGGCAGGAGACAGAGTTAGAGGTGGGCATTCACTTAAGAGTGACAAAGTAGGGGTGAAGGAGATATAGGTGCCAAGGTGGTAGAAATGGATATTTTTAGGTTACTGTACCTCACAATTCCACTACTGGAAGGGAAAGAAGGTAAAATTCCCAGAAGGCAGGGGCTGGTATACAAAATGAGACTATATATTTTATTGAGTCTGTACTAGAAGTGTAATTAAGCAAACTAAGAATCCAATGTAATTAACAAACTAATTTATCAGCTTTTAATGGGATTATGTATTTCTCACAACTGTTATAATTTCTTAGATCGCACTTCTATTACATTATTGATCAATTAATTAGTTAGTAGTGATGTTCACAAAGCTGCAAACTGTTTTGCTCAGATTGCTGACTCAAAACTATGCAATGTTCTGACTACTGTGGGAGACAATTCTGTGTGGGTCTCTTGTGTTTCTTCATGTCTTATGAGCAGAGGCATTGTCTTTGTTCCAGACCAGTGGCTGGTCAACTACGGCCCATTGGCCAAATCCAGCCTGTGACCTATTTTTGTATGGCCCAAAAGTTAAGAATGGATTTTACATTTTTAAAGGGTTGTAAACCAACAACAACGACAAGGACAATGCAGAATACGTGGGGGGTCTGTAAGTGGCCAGCAAAGCCTAAAATATTGACTGTCTTACCTTTTACAGAAAAATTCACCTCTGTTCCAGATTATCTTTTCAAAGACATTTGTACAGTCAACAGCCTTGGAAACTATACAGTGTCTCCCTCTGGAGAAAAGGGGAGGCATGCTTACTTAATGATTACACCTTAAAACATCTGGGTTTCCAAAGCTCAGGTTCCCTCACCTGTGATGGGACTCACTGTATATGTGTTAAGGGTCATCTGGCCCCTTCTGCGCTGCCCTGTGGGAACTGGGCCTCGGGAAGTCAGTGGGAAAATGATGGTAGTTACTCCCATTGCTGTGAGCTACACTATCTTCTGTTGTCCCTGCCAGCATCCATCAAACTGTGGCAGGCTAGCTTGTGAGCTTGTGAGGCGGGTAAACTCTCAGACCCTTCACAAATCTTGTCAACTACCTGAAGATTAATCTTAATTTGCCAAAAAGAAAAAAAAAAGCGTATCAGAGTTTATGAGTAACTCAAGTGTAAGTATAGGTTATATACTCCACTAGAAATTTGAGAAGGAAAATAAAAAGAAGGAATAAAAAGTATATTAGGTAAACATGCAGATGTTTATAAGGTTACCTTGTACGATAATGTTTTCTTGAATTGATCACTGAAATAGAAAAGAAAAAGGAATTATTCATCATTTTAAATACCAAAGGTTAAGAGTAGAAATAATCTTAAAGAAAACTAAATTATAAAAAAATTTAAAAAAAGAAACTAGATTATAAACAAATATGTATGTTTTATCTGAAGGGTATAGAACAATATCCTGAACTAAGAACTATGCCAGTTTGAAACAGCTTATAAAAAGACAAAAACATACCATCAGTCTGTAATTAATTTTTTAAGAATTTCTTTCAAAGATTGTGTACACTATTAGAGAAGCACAGCCAACTCTTTTCTCTTCCCTGTATGGGTGCACACAAATCCAGGCATTTTAAAAGGTAGCTTTTATTGTTATTCAGGTGTGTGAGACCAACAGATTAGGAGAGGACTGCCAGGGAAAAGAAAGTCTGTTACTCATAGTTCCCAAGAAGAGGGGGCAAGCCATGTCATGCAGGGTCACGTGGGGAAGCACCAGGGTCAGTCATGAGGCAGAGGCAATGGAGTAAAACACAGACGAGAGCCTCTATTATGGATTCCATGGGAAGGAACGGTAAGCCAGGGTGAGCAAGCTGAGGACTGGCTAGTTTGAATAATGTCATAGGTTCTGGAGCACAGGGGCTGTCCCTAGTTGTCTGGTACCTGGCCCTAGTGTGATTAGGGCAGAGGGGTAGTGACCTGGGAGTAGTCCTCTAATGACAAAGAGGGCACATGTCAATAAATCTGCAGAGATGTGACAACGTCGACAGACACTAAATTGAGACTTTAAAATCAGTTAAATGAGACTGCAGGCTGAATAACTCAAATTAGCACTCTTAAGAATCTTCATAGTGCTAAACTTACCGATTTCTTGATGAGTTGTAAAACATACGTTTTATCTATTTTATCTAAGATTTAGAATAAAATACAATTTCAAGTATTGAATAAGCCTCAAATTATATTTTAGTTTTTGCTTTTCCACAGTTCCTTTGGTTTTCTCTCAAGTAGTTGCAAATTGTAGTAAGGAACAAAACAATGAAAGAAAGAGAAGGCTATTCTTTAACTTTGTTATTTTAAACGACTTAGATAGAAGCTTTTAAGTATAAATTCTAATGGAAATTTCTAAGGTTTCTTAAAAGCAATGATGCAAATGATCAAGAAGTCTTTTTTGACACATTATAGGATTTCCAAAACTAACACATTTAATTTATTCTATAATCAAAATGATCAGCTGGATTCTCAAAAACTATAAATCAGAGTGAAATGTCATAAACCAAGAAGGGCCCTCTACCAGGTTGAGTTAAAGTGATGAGAATTAAAATGTCTCCCTCTTCTATGTGGGATAAGGAAGTAAAAACGGCCAATGAGCTTGCAGATTAATCGCCACCACCCATGGGCAGAATTTAAAACTACTACTGCTACTACTTCACTGAGCAACAGCTCACATTTATGAGTGCCTACTCTGTGCCACTTCTAAGTGGCTTACATATATAATCATTCGATCCTCATAAAAACCTTCAGGTAGTTACTATTTTAACCCCCTCTTTTATAGACGAGAAAACATAGGCAAAAAGTTTAATTGCCTGGGGTGAAACAATTTACAAAAGAATGAGGGGCCAATGTTTGCCATATTTGATGAGGTGGAATACTTCTGGGTCTGAGGTGCTTAACCACTACACTCCACTGACTCTTCTAGGCGATACTTTCTGCTTAGAAGTACACAAAGTGCTGAAGCTGCCAGACTGCCAGTCAGCTGACTCCTAGATAGACTTGCTTCTAAATTCCAACAAAAGCTGGATCCAGGAGAACAATCAAGGGCAGGCACAGAGGAGATGCTGTATCTTCCTGATACAGCCGATAAACAATACTTGCCATAGTGGAAAGTGGAAATGAGCGCCAAACTGAAATCTCATTGTGACTTGTTATCAAATAAGTTTTGTGTACGGATTTAATCCCCATATTGATGTCTTTGGCAGAACAGAACATTTCACCTTTTTGGAAAATTAAACTTTGAGGTATTCTGAATGAAACCGTAACAGCATGGGCACGTGACAAAGGACGCCCGTGTTTTGATGCAGTGCTCAATCACCATATCTGTTGCCACTCCACAAGCATGCAACGCCACCTGCAAAACAAAATCAAATCTTAGCTCGAAGTTCTTTCTTAATTAACAGTGCTACTTTGTGCCATTAAAAAAAAACCAAAAACAAAACCAAACACTTTTTGTGAGGATTGTTCCTTAAGAGGTTTCAAGTTACCAATTATTCCATAGTAATTTAGAGTTCTCATTTGGATGGACCAAAAGACAATTAGCTATTGATATTAAGAACATTAAGCAATAGGTTGAAAGATTACAAATGGAACATGGCAAACAAAGCATAAAATTCATTTGGTGGAAAATGATGTTAAATATGGAAAATTCAATATATACGCATGTCTAAACTAGTGCTCTTTCTGATCGAAAATTTATTTCAGTTGTAGCCTTGTGGCAAGAACTGTAGACTGAAATCAGAATTTCGAGTCTAGAACTCTAATTGGCTGTGTGATCCTGGGCCACTTAAAATTTAACTTTTTTGGGCCTCAGTCTCTTCAACCAGAAACTGGTTCTGGTTCTGGTTCTGGTTGAGGTGACTGATTAAACTATGGTTAATAATACTGACACATCACAATGCTGTTGCAAAGATTAAGTAAAAGTGTGTATGAAAACACTTTCACAAATTCTGCCTGAATAGAATCTAATCAGTGTTGTATAAAACTGATCAAATCATATTTATGTAGCACCTTTTCATATTCATATAATTACAGTTCTTAACACTGAATGATGAATTGTATTAAATTCTTTTAATGAGTTTATTGAAAAAGGAATACAATTGTGGATTGAAGTCATGATTAGTGCTTCAATAATTCATGTAAAGAAAAATAACTCTAAAAATGACTTAAAAATCTGTTTTTAGAACCAATGCCTTAAATATATCTACACTGTATTACAATCTAAAGCTGACAGTTGTGAAAATTATTAGGCTAAATAAGGCAAAATAGGACTCTATGAAAGAAAATCAGATGCGGGGTTCTTGAGAGACGAAGCATTTTATCAGAAAAATGCTCAGACTGCCATTCCATTCTGGACAGAGGCAAATTGTATTGGATCATAACTGTCCTTTCTAGAGACAAATCTCTCAACTTTAGGGTGGGGAGGCGCTTTTAGGGTGAAGCCAAGGAGATTTTCTGGAAATTTCTAGTTGTGAAGTAATGTAAGCCAGATTCCCCTTGGATTGGAAAACCAAAAACAATGCTGTACTGAGAAGAGAAAAGCAAGATCCCTGCTCTCAACCCTCCTGCTCCTGAATTCTTCCCTCCTTCCAGGCTTACATCACCTCCACAGACGTCAACAATCCCTATGGTTGCTGTGTACCACCTTTCCAGCTTCACGCTGAAAACAGAGCTTCGGAAGGCAGCCGTCCACTGAAGGTAGCAACAACTACTGGATAGTAAAGAACTTTAATTTCTCATCTGCTCCTTTTATTTAATCAGCTTTGCAGGGTAAAAATCAGGCCAGCCCTTATTTTCATGAGTAGCTGGAGAAAACTACATAGTAAAACTTAGCTGTATTTTCCCCTAGAGGGAGAGAGAAGAGAACCAGCATTCACCCAGTGCCCTTTCTGTGCTGGCAGCTCTGCTGGATGATGGCACGCAGATCTTTCTACGCTCACAACAGCCCTGAAAGATTCTATTATCTCCAACTTAGACTTGAGGAAACTAAGGCTGTGGGAAATTAATAATGTGCTCACAACAAAGCAGCTCCGGAGAGGCAGGGTCCTGACCCCAGAGCCTGACACCATGTGTTAATCACATCAGGCTGCTTCCCCACGAAACCCCTGTAAGGCTCTTAAAGAAAAGTTTAGAAAATTTACTTTTATAAACCACCCTTTACTTAGGTTCACATACCCTCTGTTACATGCAAAAGAGTGACTTTATTTCCCTCCTTTAAACAACTAAATCTAAGAACTATTTACAGGATAGATTTTATTAGGTCTAAAAGGTTTTCTTACATCACATGCTCCTAATTTCCATTGTCACCAAATGCAGATCAGAATAACCGGCAAATAATGAAGAGAGATATAGATCAATGGAACCACTTGGATATGAAAATTTAGCATACAACAAAGGTGACACTTCAAACAACGTGGGGGAAAATGGACTTTTTAATACGTGATGTTGAGTTAACCTGATAGCTATAGAAAAAATAAAATTAGATCCTTTCCTCTCACCACACATACATTTCAAATGGATTAGAGCTTTAACATGCAAAAACAAATTAACAAACAAAAAAATACGTTAATTCCTCCACAACCTAGGGGAATGGGAAATAATTTCCTGACTATGTCTGAGAGTCCACATGCAATAAGGGGTAAGGTTAATGAATATGTCACAGTACAAATAAAAAAAAAACTTTCATATGTCAGAAAACCAAAAACTGTATGTAAAAAGGCAAATGATAAAGTGAGAAAAAGATTTGCAATTCATAGCAAAAGGGAAATACCCCTAACATACAACAAGCTTCTAAAAATAAAGAAAAAGCCCAATAATCTCACAGTAAAATGGGCAAAAGATTTGGACAATTCACAAACAATAATATGTAAATAGGCCTTAAACCGAAATTGTTTAATATTGTTCAAAATAAGAGAAATAAGCATTGAAATTCTATTAAGATACTTCTTATCACCAATAAAGTAGCAAAAATCCTAAAATTTGGTAACAGTCTATTGGCTAGGCTGTGGGAAAACAGACACCATCAAATATATTGCTGGTGGGAATACAAAAATGTTACAGTCCTTTGGAGGAGAAATTTAGGAATTTGTGCTCTCATTAGTAAAAGTCTATCCAAAGGACACATTGGCAGAAATAAAAAAAAAACAGTTATTCATTGAGGCAATATATGAAATAACAACAATATGGAAACAGGTCAGTTTTCCATTGACAGAGCATTGGTGGAATAAATGTAACAGACTACTCTGCAGCTCTGAAAAAGAATGAGGACTGTCTCCATACATGGCCATGGATGGTGTCACTGAATGACAAATAACGTTTAAAAATTCTCAAATTATTTTCAGTAATCATCATTGGCAGTTGTGTTGTTTTTAGGACTCTAACATGTATATTGTGAGATAAATTAAGAAACGTGCTATTAGGAAAAATTTTCCTTTTTAGCATAAGAGAAAGATGAGATAAGAGATGGATAAGTAAGGCTAAGTTAAAATCCCACAGTACAGAATTTAAGTTGGAATTATCAGTATGAACCTATGAAGATTTTGTTTAAAAAAAAAAAAGGTATTGCCTAGCTCAGAAAAGCCTAGAAACAAAAACCAAACCAGTAGCAATAACCATCCTTAGTGCTTAGAATGTGGCAAATAATAGCATTTGCTCTAAAAAGAATTTAGAGCTCCCTGGAGACACAGCTGATGTCAGACATGAGGCAGGAAATACATAAGATGAGCTGGAACACCTTGTTGTTCTGAAACCATGGATACTATCAAATACTATTGAAGCCTTGTCAAAAAGACTCAGGAGCCAACCCAAGAGGCTCCCACTGAACAAAGATGGGAATATTTGAGCATCAATGAGAGCAATAATGTCAATGGACTGAAGTATTTCAAACATTAAATTGATGAGTTGATAATACTTACATTAAAAAAAAAGCTTAACTGATCACTTTTGGTAGATAACCAATGCACTTTGAAAACTGGAAAATACAGAAGGCATTTTCACGAAATAGGGAATGATACTGATAATAATAATACTATAAATCTAATATTACTGAATAATGATAAGTGCATATGCTAAGTGCTTTCCATGTGTTTACTTGTTTAACACACAACAACCCTATGAAGTAGGCACTAATTTTTTTTAACCTATTTTATTGTGGTTAAAAAACCAGAACATAAAGTTTATAGTCTTAACCATTTTTAAGCATACAGTCCAGTAGTGTTAAGTATATTCACATTGTTGTGAAACAGATCTTCAGAATTTTTTCACCTTGCAAAACTGAAACTCTGAACCTTCTGAACAACAGCTTCCCTTTTCTCCCTCCCCCCCAGCCCCTGGTAACCACTAATCTACTTTCTGTTTCTATGAATGTGCCTGTTTTAGTTACATCATATAAGTGGAATCATACAGTATTTGTCTTTTTGTGACTGGTTTATTTCACTTAGTATAATCCATAAATTGCATCCATGTTGTAGCATTTGATAGGCTTTCCATCTTTTTAAAGGCTGAATAACATTCCATTGTATACACTTACCTCTCCAAATCTGCAGGTTCTGCAATTGCAAATTCAATTCAACTAAATTGAAAATATTTTTTAAAAAAATTCCAGGAAGTTCCAAAAGGCAAAACTTGAATCTGCCATGCACTGGCAACTAGGTACATAGTATTTATATTGTACCTACAACTATTTTCATAATATTTACATTGTATTAGGTATTATAAGTAATCTAGAGATGATTTAAAGTATATAAAAGAATGTGTATAGGTTATATGCAGATATTATGCCATTTGTTTTTATAAGGGACTTGAGCATCCTTGGATTTTGGTATGTGAGGGGGTCCCAAGGGACAACTATACACACACACACACACACACACACACACACACACACACACACACACATATCACATTTTGTTTATCTATTCATCTATCCATGGACATCTGGGCTGCTTCCACCTCTGGTATTGTGAATAGTGCTGCTATGAACATGAGTATACAAATATCTAAGTGGGTACTATTTTACGATGAGGAAACTGAAGCCCAGAGAGGTTAAGTAACTTGTTTCAGGTGACATAACAAATTAAGGACTCCAACTCAGACGGTTTAGGGCCTCCCATTCTAGATAATTCCTCTATACAAATACAACAGCCTCTGCTTATCCGCAGAGGATATGTGTTCTAAGACCCCCAGTGGATGCCTGAAACCAAGGATGGTACCAAACTCTATAATACAGATGACCTTTACATCATGTGGAGGTTAGGGGCACCGACCCCCCCATGCAGTTGAAAATCTGAGTGTAGCTTTATAATTGGCCCTCCTTGTCCATGGTTCCACATCTGTGGATTCAGTCAACCACAGATC